GCGGAGCGGCTGGGCCCGTGGGCCATGGCCGCTGGGCCTGCGCGTCCGGAGCCTGTGCTCCGCAAATGGGAGAGGCCACAACAGTGAGAGGCCCGCATAACGCAAGGAAAAAAAAAAAAAAAAAAAAAAAAACTGATACACCCTAAATGGTAGTTTGAAAAACAAATATTTTGGAACTTGCTCTTATTTTTTAACTTAAAATGAATTAATCTAAGCCAACTTCCAAATACACTGTTGAGTTTTCAATGCTCGTTTGGAATATTAAGCATTCAATAGGAGATAAATTCAACTGTTAGAAAATATTTACTTTTACCTAGTTAATTTTACCAAGAAGGTTATTATAATGAGGCCCGGCAGAAAGGTCTAGCTTAAGCAGTAGTAGCAACAAAGGTTAACATTTAGTTTCTCTCTTGTTTCAGTTATCAATCATCAAATTAAATTTGCCATTTGGGTGAAGAACCCTGTATTTTCATTGTAGATAGTCTTGGAGTTACTCCTAGAAAAATAATTTAGGTACATTAAATCCCCCTTTTGTTCTTTTTGTGGGACTAAATATGCTTGGAAAATGGAAAGGATAACATATCTTATGGAGAGGAAAAAGTGGGCAAATTCAAAGCATGCATTTATTGTCAATGCCCATTCCTATAGCTTCCAAAAGAATTAGAGGCAATAAAATCTGAAGTCATGCCGTTTAACATCAACATCACCATCAAATGAGAGATTTTCTTTTTTTTCCCCCAAATTGGGACTTCTCCATGCAGCAGCCATCAGGGAGTCTTCTCATGTTCAGCTAGACATTCAGACTCACAAGACCCAACTAGACCACAACTGGCATTATGTTCACTTAGCAGGATATAGGACAGGAAACAGAAGTAGGTTAACAGCAGGCATTTATCTTTCACAGGAGTCCTTGCTGCAGTCCAGAGGCTAGTTGCTGGCTCTCAAATGTCAGCTTAGGAGCAAAAAGATGAGAGCCACCTTTGTGGGTACAGAGTCACCTTGGCTTAGCATCCCCAGGTTTCAACTATGTAGGAACCAGTAATCTGTAACAACTGCATGAGCTCAGCTGGCAGAGGTCCCAGAGGGTGTGAACAATGAAAACAGTCACCCAGGGAAACTTCTCACCAGGTTTTTATAGTTCGTTCACAGTTCTCCGAATTCAGATGCAGCTTAGTAATCGGGGGACATTTTTACCCTAAAGTAACACAGCTAACTGTCCCACTTTTATCAGGTTTCCAGAAGAACGCAGCTGGAGACTTAATCCAAGGTCAAACTTGTTTATAGAGGAGAAAGGGTTTCATTAACCCTTTCCCCACACTTCATAACTCAGGAGTTAAATTCTGTTCCTGTTTTGCCATGGAGAGAACTTTTCCTGATTAATTTCTAGCCACCTGAGTTCGTTCTAGGTAGAATTATTTGGCATATCTAAAAATCACTAATTTGCATTCTTCTGTGATGCTCAGAATAATAAGCTTCTAAGAGTGATAATCTTTAGGGAAAGATTACTTTTCCTATATGATTAAAAACATTCCCAGGGATTTAAAATACATATTTAGTAGTACTCATTGACAACTAGTCTTAAATCAGGCTGACTTTCTATTTAAGAGAGATTTAACATCCTCTCCAATTAATTCCAAAGCATGTTGGTAATGAACTGATATCTACAGATAGTGTATGTTGCTGTCTTATTTCTTTACCAGGTGTGCATTGAAACATACATATGTAGCTGTCACCAGCGTAGTATAAACACTGCTGTGCGGGCAACTCTCAGTCAAATGCTGAGTGACTTGACTTTACAGTTACGACAAAGGCAGGAGAATACGGTGAGCCTCTTGGTACCCACACTTTCATCCCGGTCTTGCCAGTGTCTCTGTGTAACCGCATGCTAAGTGTCCCACGTCCTATATGCTTTCCCCTCCCCCTGCCAGGGCTGTTTCCTACTGAAACATTAGGAAGGGCTGGCTTGGTTCAGAAGAACATTTGTTTATATAAATTAAACTCTTTAAATGTGTCTTTGCCTGTTTCACTCCAAAGCTTGGAGAGTTATTTTTCCTTATGGTTTCGGTCATGTTTTTAGTCATTAATTTAACATTCACTTTTCTTTTAAAATCATGTGTTAAACATCTCTGATTGAACAATTTTATTAAAAATATTTTGATGTATTAACAAACAGAAGTAAATTCAGAATTAAGAAAAATTACTAGCAGTTAATTAATTACATGCTTTGAGGCTTGGTGTATATGTTTCTGTTTATGAAATAAAAGGCTGGGGCAGGAGGGTTCCTTCACCTACTGGTGCCATCAGGGAAAAGCTGAATTTGTCTTCTCTCTGTCATCAAAGCCCACTTGAGCTTTTTGCTCTAAACTTCAGCAGTTTGTCTAACATGAGCATTCCTGGGAAAAATGTAAATGTAATCAGCTTCTTGTGTGTGTTATCTCCTGGGAATGTTAATTGAGGAGATGATTCCTCTTCAAAATTGGTGTTTTTTAAAAAAAAATGCCTCTAATAATTCAGATTAAACTTCTTTTAAAATCTGCAAGAAGTATTCCGAAATGAACACTTTATGAGTTATTTTTTAGAACAGGAAATCTCAATGGCAATTCAAAATATCTCAGAAATTAATTTTACAGAAATGAAGAGTTCATTTCTAATTTTTAATTTCAATTATTTTCTGATTTTTAGAAAATCATGGTGTTGAGTGAAACCTTAGAGATTATCTGGTCAAATTCTTTTATTCCTCAGAAAAACAGCTGGGGAAGATGAAGCCCAGAGAGATGAAATTGAAATCTAAAATTAATGAGCATATCAGTGAAAGAGCCAGAACAAAAGCCCTAGTCTCCTTACTGACTCCCAGTCCAGGTTATTAATATGCAGTCTGACAGCCAGTGTTGTTTTGTTTTTTGTTTTTTTTTAAATCCACTAATCTGAAAAAACAAATACTGATTTTCTTTTCTGTTTGCTATATCTAAAGCCCAAGTTTTTATTAAAAATTGTTTAAACTTGAGATATTTTTATTATATTAGCTTCCTCTTTGTTAAAAACTATTTCATTTATACTAAGGTTTTGCATATGATGGTATAGATATATTAGTTTAAAAGAAATTCAAATCTATAAGCAGAAAGCATTAAGAGAAAAAAGTTTCTTAATGGAAACAAAGCTAAGATGTTGAGAGTCCTGATACTGGTATATTACCATGTTCCATCCTTGCTAAATGGCAACATGATGGGAAATACTATAACACTAAGGTTTTAAGATGAAGCATTTAAATGAAGCTTTGTAGTTTCAAAGAGATTGCAATCATGACAGTTTATTTCGTTAAATTTTTAAGTAGGAGAATTTGGGGTTTTAAGTAAAACGACTGAGCTTTCTAGCTTATCTTGCTCTTCTGTAACAATGGTGACAGGTATAGTTGTAGAGGTCTGGATAAAACTAGAGGGTTGTCTGCCTCTGTCCTAGGTACTGTGTGGCTGATCAACCTTCTGGTGCCCCTCATCACTGACCATCTGTCCTCACCCCATCCGGAGGCAAGATCCCAAACGAGATAGAAAATTAGTGTTTCCTGTTAATTTCCTTTCTATTACTCATTAGATCCCTGGAGATGTTTTTGTGTCCCAGAAAAACATGATTCTCCGGATGCTAATATTTGAAGCACTTAAAATGTTTAGTAGAGGGAGACATAAGTTTTGCCACCTAAGAGTGGTTATGTGTTTTAAAAAAAAAAAGCTACTAAAGGGGAGTGGTCCCTAGGAATGATGAGGCTCACTCTAAGTAGGCTGCATGTTCTCCCATGGGACACTTGGCATTACTTGCAGAAGATGTGTATAGTGCTTAGCATGACCCATCACTGGAAAGACATCATGGGTCATCTCAGAATTAGAAAGACTTAAATACAGTGGAAAGAAAATAAATCTAGAATGCCAAAAGCTTAGCATGAAATGTATCTTCAACTTAATGTCTAGCCCCTCCCAACCCCTACTCCCAGGGCAGATTATTCAGTTTGATTTTGTAGCCTCAGAAACCCTGAGTTATTATCGAGCTTTATTTTTGAATTATTTTGATGACAAAAGCCATTGTCAAATTGTTGTTACTCATTTTAAAAAGAAAAAAATGCCACGTGTAAATATTTGGGAGGGTAGGTGGTAGTGGTTCTCCTATCCATAAAAATGATTCAGACGGGTTTCCTCCAGAAAATGTTGTTCTGAACTTAATATTTATCCATGTGCTGAGCTGTAGGCACTAACGTAGCATTTCCCAAAACACTGTAGAAGTTGCTGAGCTTGCAAATTTATGAACAGAGAAGAATAGAAATACATGCCTGTAACAAGTTTAAAAATGATCAGTGCTATGCTATGATTTATATCTGGTAGTTAATTGGCATGAAAATGCCTTCTGTTTATCTCCCAATGCTAAGAGGTGGGGAGACTGAAGGGTTGCCTTCCTGCTCTCAGCTCAGTAGTCACTGAATTAGACCTATCACGGGAAATAATCTTACTACCAGTAAATGTCTTTTCCTTCCTATTCTCCCTTCCCTCCAGGTTCTGTCTCTACCCTGATAGTTCTAGATCTACCTAGAGATGGCCTAGAGGGTCGGTCTGGTCAGACAGTCAGAAGTTAATACACTCCCCCATCAATTAGGCATCTGGTGCTTCTGACCCGCAGTCATCTTGGACTTGGATGTTGAAGTCCAGGAACCTGATTCTTCTTACAATTAAGAATCTGTATTCATTAGGTGCTGGTCAGAGTGCAGTCTGTGACCTTGGGGCAAATTGTTGTGCAAAGGGAACGCACCTGTTTAGGCAGGTATTGCCTCAGGTCATAGCCCTGCAGCATCCTGGAATGATCAAGTGCATGGTGGGCCTTAAACTTCCAGGGGGTTGTGGACTCTTGAATGAATTATTTTTGGAACTGATAACTCAGTTCAGACATCACAGCCTTTTCATAAGTACCATGAGTAATGAAATGCTATCAAGAGCTGGAGGGTGCGCTTAGGTAAGTTAGCAGAGCCCAGAGCACTCAGATGACACTTTGTTTCCTAGAACTTTCCGTCGTTTAACAGTCGGGATTTTTCTTGCCTGAATCTCCTAATTGTCCTGTGTGTGTCTCCCTTACTAGATAATCGAAAACCCGGATGTACCGCAGGAATTCAGGAGTCAAGGTATTGGATTTGATTTCTGTGCATTCAGTTTAAAAAGCCATTGTAAAAACACCTACTGTGTGCTTGGGGTGGGGATGTAACGCTGAGTAAAAGCTGTTGGGTTAGTTCCCCATTCTCCTTGGAGGCTCTGCTTAGCTTTAGTCAGCTGTTGTTTCCTTCTTTTCCTACACCCTCTGCCAACCATACTTGTCCCTGCTCCAGCTGTGTCAAGGAAATTAACTCTTCACACACCTTCCTGCTGGAAGCTAGCTTTTGTAGTTACATCACTCTTCATGAAGTCAGGTTCATTATTTCACCTGAAGGGTATTTGTGAAACACCGAGTTTTTGATATGAAAAATGAGTCACCTCACAGGGAAGGACAGACAGACAGCCCAGTTTCAGTAGCAGATGAAATCAAGGTAAGGAACTTTCATTCTGACCCACAGGACAGGAAAAAATAAAGTTCCACGTACAACAGACAAGCACTTTGACTTCTTAAAAATGTTTGATGGTATTGTTTTCTGAAAGAGATATGAAAAATTCAAATTATCTGATTGAAATACTGAAATATTTTTAAACAGTAATTTTTAAAATGTTGAAAAAAATCTGCTTTTCTTTGATATTTTTGCCAGTTAATAATGGGGAAAGGGGGGCGGGGTAGAGAGAAGATGAAAAAGGGAATGAAACAGAGAGAAAGAAGTAGCTAAACAGCCACAGTTAGAAAAAGAATAAATGAAAGAAAAATGACCGCTTTAAGTCATTTTCTAAAGCGTCACATGAGCATGTTGTTTTAGTCGCATCCTCCTGCATTCTTGGGCTGCAGCATCCTTTCACCTTTTGAAGCTCTCAGTGGTGTGCTCCAAGATTTTCCACCAGTCTCTTCCTCTTTTGGCTATTGCAGTTCCCATAATGTCTTCCTTTAACGTAGGATGATTTTATAAACTAAAAAAAGAGGTCAAAGTCCTCTTGGTTAAGGATGCATCTTTAAAATCTATATCAGTAAAAAAATTGATGGACTCATTTGAAATTTACCTAAAATTGAGTTTCAAGACTACTTATGGGTTTTATTTAAACTATCTTTTATCATTGTTACTTTATCATTTCTCAATTTGTTCCTGCATTAAAAATATTAAATTCTGAGGATCAGCCATTTATTATTCCCTTGCCCTCCTCCAATTTTATTTTTATTTTCCTTCTTACACTCCTGCCATTTTTTCTCCATCTTCTCTGACCTCCTGGTCATTCATTCATTCATTCATTCATTCATTATATGCATCCATCAAACACTTGGGCACATTTGTATAGCTCTCCACAGGTTTTTATTTAAAAAAAAAAAAAAAAAGCAAATGCTTCCACTTGTTACTTCACTTGGCCCAACAGAGCTGGGACTTCATTATTATTTATCGCATCTTGCCGAAGGCTAAACTGAAGCTTACCCGAGCTCACACAGTCAGCAAACTGTGGACCAGTACTTGAACAGATTCCAAATTTCAGCCTTTTTCCAATACACTTCAGTGCTTCTGTAGGAGTTTTGTTGCTAGATTCTGGACACAAACATGTTTGAAAGGAAAATTTTTTCTGACCGTGGCTGTTGCTCCTTTAACAGTGAAGGCCATGTACCCTGAGGATGCTGGACAAAGAGCTAAAATAGGTGAAGATGGTGACTAACTTATTTTGCCTCCTTTCCCTAGTTTCCTAGTATGAAAAGCCCATCTTTCTTCCATGCCACCATATTTTATCTCTCTGGGATACAGCTTAAGTCTGCGCAGGAGACCCAGAAGTTCAAGGGGTCAGAATAAGGGATACATGTGTAGTCTGCTGGCATAAATATTGATACAATTGTTATTGATCGTGTTGTTCCTTAAATTAACCAAATCTTTTTTGTTAAGTGTGAGTGAATTTTACTTATAATAAATAGTCTATTATTTCCTTCCTGGACTATCTTGAGTGTTTTACTTTGGAAAGGACTGATGGGATAATCAGTCCTTTAATTCTTTTCTGTGACCCTTTTGGTGACCTGAGGAAGGCTCAGCATCTGAAAATCATCTTTCCAGTCCTGAAAGTATCAAAAGCAGAAGATGGGAAGGACTGTTGAGGAAGCCTGTAGTGCCCCCTGCCGATGTCTAATGCCTGTCACCTCCTCTGTTTGAAGGGTCAACAGTAGAGTCCCTCTGTGATGACCTTGTCTCTGTGCTCACTGTTCTGTGTGAGAAGCTCCAAGCTGCCATCAAGTAAGTGCCTTCAACACTGGTGCTCTGATTCATTAACGGACTATTTCTGAAGGAACTTTTGCCTGCAGCGTCACTTAAAGTTGCAGAGCATAGGGACAGTGGTTCCCACCACCCCATTGGTATTCACTGAGCAGTTCACTGTCTTTCCTGAGACATGTGTTCAGTGATCTTGGGCAAGCCCACATGACCAAATACGGTTACTGAAGGATGTAATTTTCTGATGAGAAAAAGGGAAAACAATACCTTGCAGAAGAGTTAATCCCTTGAGCATGCAGGTGAGTGGAAAAAATGTTGGCTAAGAGCTAGTTGATATGAGGGCTAGTCCTAACCTGGCATGTCCCAGGTCTGTGGCTCCAAATGAGCCTTCTCATCCAGCTATTGCACCTTCCTCCTCTGCTAAATGGCCAGGTTGGGCTGTGTGATCTTTTCTATTTTTTCTAACATCTCCCGAGCCTGTGAGCTCACACACCTATCTTTAAAAAGAATGTGTTATTCTGATTTTTATATACTTTTCATTTATTTGCATGACAGTTTAATCAGTGATATTAGTTCATTTGTGACGTCCACTGCTCCAACTCTCCATGCAGTAAGTTGATAACTTCTGCATCTGTAGTAAAGCCAAATCATAAAAAGGCCAGACTTGCCAAGGTGAGATGAAAGTCTCTACCAGCTACATATTATAATTAACTGCAACATTCTACAACATGGTAGGATTCTGAAGTGCCCTTTGAGTTGGGAAAGACACATTAAACTATTGTTTACTGGTCACTAGAGTAATTGATAATTCAGAAAACTTTTGCTTGTAGAATTTTATATATAGTAATGAGCTACGAGAAACAGTCCAGTTCCAGCCATGAATGAGCTCTCTCACTTTGCTGGAAACACTGCAGAAATTTGTTGTTGTTGTTGTTTTTGTTTCTTCCTAAACTCAGGATCATTTTTAAGCTAGGCTTAAGACTACTCTTAAAAGTTGTTGCCCAAGTCTCTACTTCAATTTATCTGTCATTCCTCCAGGTCACCTGCATATTTTGACCAAATTAAGCTCAATTCATATCAGGCACTTAAAAAATGAAGAGATTTATTTAATACATAGGTAGTACAAAGCAAAACGAAATAGCACTTAACTTCCTCCACACCCCACCTTCAAGTTTCTCCCACCCCAGGACCCTAGGCAGGCTGCAGGTATGAGCATTATTTTTCCCTCGGGGGGAATGTACATGGAATGTACCTGGCTGGTCCCATGCCCCACTCAGGTCCCGTCTTCCTGACCATGGAGAGTTGGAGCAGTAGGGCTGGGATTCAGATGAGCATCCTAACCTGCAGGCTCTAACCCCAGCCACGGTGACCCCATCTATAGGGACCCCGTGCTACCTGATTTCTTTGGGGCAGTCCCAGGCTATGCCCGTTGTGTATGATTACAATCACCCTCCTTTACTCTCAACAGTGTCCAGGCTGGGATAGGTTATATATTCACTCTACCCGTCCATGCCCGGGGTTTAGATCTCTTCCAGTGCTAATTTCTCACCACCCCTGCCCAGTTCCTGTCCATCTTGGCAGAGCCAGCTGTTAGATCAGAGCTGGAATATGTTTCTCATTGGCTTGTCTTCTCCTGAGAGACAATCATAGCTTAATCACTATTGGCTCAACTGCATTATCTTTGTTGGATTACCTGGGATAAAACCCCTGTTAGGCCCCTTACTAGCTCTTGACTTTGGGCAAAGAGCTCAACCACCCTAAGCTTATTGATCCTATAATTAATTATTATTAGCACGTTGTATTATTTTATTATGTTATAATAATATTTATAATAAAATAACATAATGTTAATTACATTCACAATATAATTTTAATATTGATATGCTTAAGGATTATTCAAAATATTTTTAATTTGCATTATAATCATTATAATCTAGTAATATATATAATATTAGTAATATAAAATATGTTAGGGTTTTTGTAAGGATTGAATGAGAAAATTAACCTAAAAGACTGTCAGTGCCCACCAACCCAAGATCACCAGGAACATCTGAGGTTGACAGAATTAGGGTTATTAACTTGCTGCAGTAGGGGAGCCTGTACACTATGCGAATGATAGGACATCCAGTAAAAGGGTGGGTGTTAGGAATTGTTATAGGATTTGAACCTGAGTTAGGTAATTTGGTGCGGATTAAAGGAATTGGGGGTTCTGTTCAAGGACTGGGTACTGTCAGAAAGCAAGGGGCAATTCTAGCATTGAGCATCCTAGTTTTCATCTAGCTGACAAGAGGGCCAGATGGGAGCCAGAGTTGTCACTGGAGAAGCAGCAGGAGTCACTTACAGGGGAGGATAATATTTGGTCATTTTTGTAATTGTACAGACTTTTAAAAAAATTTCTGTTCAGATGTGATTGTCGATTGGCTTTCACCTTGTTACATCATCATTGTGGAGAGTCCTCATCTGATGTTAACATTCTGTGCAGTTGTTTCTGTTCCCCAGGGGAACACACAGCTGGCTGGTAGCAACTAGCAAGATGGCTATTGCCAGCTGTCAAAGATTCTTCTTCTTGGCCCACCCCTTCAGGTCTTAGCCTTGTCGGGGAATAAAACAAAGACCACCAAAATTTTGAAAAACTTAAAGGCTATGTTCATTACTGTGCTGACAAGGGAAAACTAATAAATTAAACTCTTTTTTTCTGAGTAGTTTGCTAAGGGAAAAATCTAAAATGTTTAAGTGCTACAAAAGTGCTAATAATAGTTCATGGTAATTATGCCATTAATAATTTAAAAATAGCCATCAGGAGAAGTTAGAACAAGTCTGCAGGTCTGTAAATGATACCATTGTTCATTGGTCCAGAAAGAGCCTTTAGCAAAGTCTAGTAAGGACCTGCCTGGCATCTGGGGTTCGTTCAGTTCATGGTTCTTTAAAACCTGGATGGCTCTAATGTCACCTACAGGGACCCCTACCTGTAGGGCAACCATATAACTTGGCTTACCTTAAACAGTCCAAAGTTACGCTTACTGTATAATTATTATTAAAGACACTCATCGATATCTTCTAGGAAGTACTGTTATAAGTGGAGTTTTTTTTTTTTTTTTTTTTTTTTTTTTTTTTTTTTTTACTGCACAGCACATAATAAATATTTGATAAATATTAGCTCTAAAATAGCTTGTTTGCTTTCAGAATTATCAGTGCTAATTCTAGTTGGTGATGCATTTAGGAGCACTGAGTTTCTTACATTAGAAATTTGACTGAAGGTTGTTGGGAAAATACAATGCACAAACGTACATTACAAATGCTCACATATGTGTATTAGAAACTAAAGGTCATACATTTCTATCAGTCACTGAAAAAATGAAAACGTTTCTAAACCATATGATTCAGGGATAGGCTTTAAATGGAAAAAAAATAACTCACGTGACATGCATATGGTTTTCTAGGATTTCTCATTGGACATTGGATCAAAGATGGCTTTAGGCATATTGTTATAGAGCTTAATGATTTTTACAGGATTCTCATAGTCTTGGTTGTTTTTTCAAAGCAATTTCCTTATCATAATTCTGCCTCTGGAGACTCTTCTTATTTGGTTATGGCCTTTCCCATCATGGTTCCATTGCCCTAAGATGGGGGTTGTATTACTGCAGAAGCTGGGGTGCAGCAGGCTTAGTGCAGCTTCACTGGGAGACGTTTAACACCCCCTGGTCAGATAATACCATGCCTTTGGCTGCTCTCACTCTGATGGTTCTATTAATTCTCCTTAAATTTTCACATCTATATAGTTTCTTCTGATTTTAACTCCTTTTATTTCCATTGGCTAAACTTGACACCTCTCCTACCTTCTAAGTAGGTTCTCTTCCTCTGAAATCACACCACGGTCATTACTTCCCACCCAACATCCATTCCCAAAATCAATGCCGATATACCTCACAGGTCTTTAGCTCTTGTAGGGGTATGTACTCATGATATGTTCAGTCTCTCAGGAGAAATCAGAAAATGCATTCAGGCACACAGGTTAACTCACATGCCTCGGAGATGCGGTATTAATAGAGCTCTATATTAGGCAAGTTGAGTTACATGATGCTGTTTAAATCCAAGAATTTTTGGAAGGATACTTGGGATTAGAAAGATATTTTTTCATTCTCTGCCCGTTGGTTTCCCACCACCCTCTCCCCACTTCTCTCTCTTCTCAGTACAGAATGTCGGAGAGGAATCTATACTGAGGCATCTTGGAATCAATGAGGCGAGGCTGAGCCTTCATATTGTGTATTCTAATTCCATTCTAATTCCTTATGCAACTCCCTCTCTCCTTTTTCTAACTAAATTTGAATCTGTTTCTAAGGGAGGCAAAATCAAAATAGTACAAAGTGAAACAACATTTTAAGAACTCCAGAAATTGAGGATGTGCTGCCAGGTTGCTGTCACAGTAACCCTGCCAGGGCTGCACCGCTTCTCCTTCATGGACCACTGGTCTACCCACGAGAGTTGTTCTCTGTGGATCATGGGCCTGGGAGGAAATCCACAGACGAGCAGAGAGTGAGACCAGTAGATGCTCAACCTGTTCAAACAACAGGCCAGACAAAGTGACTCACAGCCCTCCTAAGTAGGCAGATGTTCCCTAGTGTCTGCTGAAAGAGTTGGCTAGTTTCTAGGCTCCTTTCTGCCCTGTGCATCTCACAGATTAGTCTGTCTATAGTCAGACAAATATGAAATGTACACACTGTGCACACACATATGTGTATCTAGTGAGGGGCATGCACGGAAGGTGCTCCTCTAATGGCATGACGCGTGCCAGGCCACGAGTACTCATTTTTCCAGACTGCAGCAGCCCACAGAGAAGCTGCCGCATTCAGTCTCCAAGGAGACTCCCAGGCCAGTTTCCTTGGCAATGAGCTCTTTCTGTCACCAAGTCTGATGCCTTGGGGTTGCCATATTGCTGCAGCACGCTTTGCTGATATGTACTCATAGGGAACTTGACTGCTTGTGGCTTTTCTCTGGATTTATTTCCAGTGATTTCAGAAACTGACACTCTTTATTGTTTATAGTTATTTTAGTTTTGTGATGTTCGACTGACAGTTTGAAAGATAGACATTTTTCAGTAAGGGCATTTAATAATTATTTTTCTTAATTATGAGTCAGGTGATTGGTCAGAAAGACCACCCACCTTGATTTTAATACTTTCTGGCAGAAAACTTAATCCAGATATAAAAATGTGCGTCCCATAAACTTACCTGTTTTTTTAAATCTGGTTCTATTGAGGAACCCCATAGTAATAATTATGAGAAAAAATAATTCATCTGTTGAAAAACCATGCTGCTTTCAAAAAAATAAAGAAGAAAAGCCAAATGCAAGTTAGTAAAGCATTAATCATCTAAAAGGTATCATGGTACAATAAGACATCTGAAACATATTTAGACAATTAAACATATTAAAAATTAATATTTCTGGAATAAACTGTGGACTTTAGGCAATATATCAATATTTGTTCATTAATGGTAGCTGTTAATTTGTTCATTAATGGTAAGATGTTAATAACACCTTTACCAGGATAAACCACTTGCAGGGGTGGGTAAAATATGGTCACTTTCCATACCATATTCAGTTTTTCTATAAATCTAAAACTGTTCTAAAAAGTAAAGTTTATTACAGAAAAATCATCCTAACTGTATTAGTTTGTTGGGGCCCCCATAACAAAGTACCACAAACCAAGTGGCTTTAACAACAGAAATGTATTGTCTTGTGCTTCTGGAGGCTGGAGATTGGAGATCATGATGTCAGCAGAGTTGGTTCCTTCTCAGGGCTGGGAGGCCTCGCTCTTTGGCTTGTAGACGACTGTCTTCTCCGCATGTCTCTTCACATTGTCTTCCTTCCATATGTATCTCTGTGTCCTAATTTCCCTGTTTTATAAGGACACCAGTCGTATTGGATTAGGATCTACCCTAATAACTTCACTTTAACTTGGTTACCTATGTAAGGTCCCAACTCCAAGTAAGACCATTTCTGAGGTGCCAGGGGTTAGGACCTCAGCATATGAAAGGTGGTGGTGGGGGGTACAAGTCAACCCATAACACTACCAATGCCCCCTACCCCAAAATTAACACCCTGTGATACCTAACATTTTCCCAAGTGTTTTCCACATGTCACCTCTTTAGTTTCGCCTTTACCTTGTGTGCATTTGTATGTTGGTTCTGTTCCTCTGCAGTGACAGTCAGCAGCTGCAGCTTCTGTACCTGGAGTGCGTTCTGTCCGTGCTCAGCAGTTCCTCCTCCTCCATGCGGCTGCACAGAGGCTTCACGGACCTCATCTGGTGAGTGCTCATCCTGACGCCGACCCCTGCTCCACCCCAACCTGGGGGGCTCGCTCGCTTGCCCTCGCTGGGTCTGCGGGTCCCTTCCCAGGGCATCCATGCCTCACTGGCCATTTCATCTATGTGTAAATGTATTAGAGGGAAAGTAAGGAGATGGCTTTGCTTATATGCACCAGACGAAGCTACAGAGAGAAAGGGGAGAGAAAGCGATAATTATTGTAACAAACTATGCCTCCCAAGGCCCTCTTGCAGTTTGTTTCCATCATAGGATCATGAGAGCCTATGTTCTAAATCATATAAAGGCACCAGAGAGTTGCACAGGCGAGGCGATTCACCTTCGCCAAAATTGGACCATCTTCTCAGCCTCACCCTGGTACTTTCTCCATCTCAACCTGAATACTCGTCTCTTAATCATAGTCAGAGATTCACGCAAGTGACAGGACCCTCAGGCAGCCAGCTAGCTGCTCTGGGTTCCTGTGCTTATTGACAGGGAGAAAGTCGAATGCTATGTACATGATGTGTGTCAGAATTTTAAATTAACTTCTCAAATGAGGAGTATAAATAACTTTGTTATTTATAGTAAAATGAAACTTCATAACTAAGTCAGTTAGCATTTTGAGTCCATTTTCCTCACATAAGATGATTTCTCATGCTTCTCTTGATATTTTATGTAGTTAACCCCAGCTTGAATTATGAGGCAGAGTATTCTGTTGATATCCCCAGGAGTGATGGAGAGTCAGGGAACGCTGGGGCAGAAGGTAGCCAGAAGAAGGAGCAGTAAAGAGCCCAACTCTTACTTGTCATTTTTAAGGCACCTGGTATTTACCCTCAGGATAGTATTCGTATTTTATCATTCGGCTTGTAGGGAAACTTTTCTTTCTTCTCGTTCTCTTCTCAGGAAAAATCTTTGCCCTGCTCTCATCGTGATCCTGGGCAATCCGATTCATGACAAAACCATCACCTCTGCTCATAGCAGCAACACGAGTACCAGCATCGAATCGGACTCTGCGTCTCCAGGGGTTTCTGACCACGGCCGGGGGTCAGGCTGCTCCTCCACCGCACCAGCCCTCAGTGGGCCTGTGGCTCGGACCATCTATTACATCGCAGCTGAGCTGGTCCGGCTGGTGGGGTCAGTGGACTCCATGAAGCCTGTGCTGCAGTCGCTCTATCACCGCGTGCTGCTTTATCCCCCACCCCAGCACCGGGTGGAAGCCATCAAAATAATGAAAGAGGTAGGGAGGTAGTGAAGGATGCCACCAGGTCTACCGAGAGGGGCTGAGTACCATGTCGTGCACAAAGGAAGTACTTAGAAAATGTTTGTCAGTCGCCTGCTGGAACTTAATTGCTTCTGTACAGTGTCCAGTAACAAATAGTATCTTTAGCACTGGGGGCTGCGTGTGCATGTGTTGGGAGTTGGGCTAAGGGGGTGTTGATAAGTGCTCACTGAAGCAAAGCCATTTGGTAATTTTAACTACATGCATCTGACTGGACCCCAGGCTGAGCTTTCATTTTGCTCCCTCAGGTACTCTCTGTGCAGATGTATATGGTTTTTTTGGGGGTTTTTTGAATTTTATTTATTTTTTTACACAGCAGGTACTTATTAGTTATCCATTTTGTACACATCAGTGTATACATGTCAATCGCAATCGCCCAATTCATCACACCATCACCCGCAACCCCCGCCGCTTTCCCCCCTTGGTGTCCATACGTTTGTTCTCTACAGCTGTGTCTCAGTCTCTGCCCTGCAAACGGGTTCACCTGTACCATTTTTCTAGCTTCCACATATACACGTTAATGTACAATATTTGTTTTTCTCTTTCTGACTTACTTCACTCTGTATGACAGTCTCTAGCTCCATCCATGTCTCTACAAATGACCCAATTTCGTCCCTTTTCATGGCTGAGTAATATTCCATTATATCTATGTACCACATCTTTGTCCATTCGTCTGTTGACGGGCATTGAGGTTGCTTCCATGACCTGGCTATTGTAAATAGTGCTGCATGAACATTGGAGTGCATGTATTGTTTTGAATTACAGTTTTCTCTGGGTATATGCCCAGTAGTGGGATTGCTGGGTCATATGGTAGTTCTATTTTTAGTTTTTTAAGGAACATCCATACTGTTCTCCATAGTGGCTGTATCAATTTACATTCCCACCAACAGTGCAAGAGGATTCCCTTTTCTCTGCACCCTCTCCAGCATTTGTTGTTTGTAGATTTTCTGATGATGCCCATTCTGACTGGTGTGGGGTAATACCTCATTGTAGTTTTGATTTGCATTTCTCTAATAATTAGTGATGTTGAGCATTCTTTCATGTGTTTGTTGGCAATCTGTATATCTTCTTTGGAGAAATGTCTATTTAGGTCTTCTGCCCATTTTTGGATTGGGTTGTATGTTTTTTTAATATTGAGCTGCATGAGCTGTTTATATATTTTGGAAATTAATCCTTTGTCCGTTGATTCATTTACAAATATTTTCTCCCATTCTGAGGGTTGTCTTTTCATCTTGTTTATGGTTTCCTTTGCTGGGCAAAAGCTTTTAAGTTTCATTAGGTCCCATTTGTTTATTTTTCTTTTATTTCCATTACTCTAGGAGGTGGATCAAAAAAGAGCTTGCTGTGATTTATGTCAAAGAGTGTTCTTCCGGGCTTCCCTGGTGGCGCAGTGGTTGGGAGCCTGCCTGTCAATGCAGGGGATGCGGGTTCGTGCCCCGGTCCGGGAGGATCCCACATGCCATGGAGCGGCTGGCCCCGTTAGCCGTGCCTGCTGGGCCTGCGCGTCTGGAGCCTGTGCTCTGCGACAGGGGGGGCTGCAGCGGTGAGGGGCCCGCGTACCGCAAAAAACAAAACGGAGTGTTCTTCCTATGTTTTCCTCTAAGAGTTTTATAGTGTCTGGTCTTACATTTAGGCCTCTAATCCATTTTGAGTTTATTTTTGTGTATGATGTTAGGGAGTGTTCTAATTTCAGTCTTTTACATGTAGCTGTCCAGTTTTCCCAGCACCACTTATTGAAGAGACTATCTTTTCTCCATTGTATATCCTTGCCTCCTTTGTCATAGATTAGTTGACCATAGGTGTGTGGGTTTACCTCTGGGCTTTGTATCCTGTTCCATTCATCTATATTTCTGTTGTTGTGCCAGTACCATATTGCCTTGATTACTGTAGCTTTGTAGTATAGTCTGAAGTCAGGGAGTCTGATTCCTCCAGCTTCGCTTTTTTCCCGCAAGACTGCTTTGGCTATTTCGGGTCTTTTGTGTCGCCATACAAATTTTAAGATTTTTTTGTTCTGGTTCTGTAAAAAAAAATGCCATTGGTAATTTGATAGGGATTGCACTGAATCTGTAGATTGCTTTGGGTAGTATAGTCATTTTCACAGTATTCATTCTTCCAATCCAAGAATATGGTATATCTCTCCATCTGTTTGTATCATCTTTAATTTCTTCCATTAGTGTCTTATAGTTTTCTGCATATAGGTCTTTTGTCTCCCTAGGTAGGTTTATTCCTAGGTATTTTATTCTTTTTGTTGCAATGGTAAATGGGAGTGTTTCCCTAATTTCTCTTTCAGATTTTTCATCATTAGTGTATAGGAATGCAAGAGATTTCTCTGCATTAATTTTGTATCCTACAGCTTTACCAAATTCATTGATTAGCTCTAGTAGTTTTCTAGTGGCATCTTAGGATTCTCTATGTATAGTATCATGTCATCTGCAAACAGTGGCAGTTTTACTTCTGCTTTTCCAATTTGTGTTCCTTTTATTTCTTTTTCTTCTCTGATTGCCGAGGGTAGGACTTCCAAAACTATGTTGAATAATAGTGTTGAGAGTGGACATCCTTGTCTTGTTCCTGATCTTAGAGGAAATACTTTCAGTTTTTCACCATTGAGAATGATGTTTGCTGTGCATTTGTTGTATATGGCCTTTATTATGTTGAGGTGGGTTCCCTCTATGCCCACTTTCTGGAGAGTTTTTATCATAAATGGGTGTTGAATTTTGTCAAAAGCTTTTTCTGCATCTGTTGAGATGATCATATGGTTTTTCTTCTTCAGTTTGTTAATATGATGTATCACATTGATTGATCTGCATATATTGAAGAATCCTTGCATCCCTGGAATAAATCCCGCCGATCATGGTGTATGATCCTTTTAATGTGTTGTTGGATTCTGTTTGCTAGTATTTTGTTGAGGATTTTTACACCTATATTCATGAGTAATATTGGTCTGTAATTTTCTTTTTTTGGAGTATCTTTGTCTGATTTTGGTATCAGGGTGATGGTGGCCTCACAGAATGAGTTTGGGGTGTTCCTCCCTCCGAAATTTTTTGGAAGAGTTTGAGAAGGATGGGTGCTAGCTGTTCTCTAAATGTTTCATAGAATTCACCTGTGAAGCCATCTGGTCCTGGACTTTTGTTTGTTGGAAGATTTTTAATCACAGTTTCAATTTCATACTTGTGATTGGTCTGTTCATATTTTCTATTTCTTCCTGGTTCAGTCTTGGAAGGTTATACCTTTCTAAGAATTTGTCCATTTCTTCCAGGTTTTCCATTTTATTGCTTGTGGTAGTCTCTTAGGATGCTTTGTATTTCTGCGGTGTCTGCTGTAACTTCTCCATTTTCATTTCTCATTTTATTGATTTGAGTCCTTTCCCTCTTTTTCTTGATGAGTCTGGCTAATGGTTTATAAATTTTGTTTATCTTCTCAAAGAACCAGCTTTTAGTGTTATTGATCTTTGCTATTGTTTTCTTTGTTTCTATTTCATTTATTTCTGCTCTGATCTTTATGATTTCTTTGATTCTCCTAACTTTGGGTTTGTTTGTTCTTTCTCTAGTTCCTTTAGGTGTACGTTAGATTGTTTATTTGAGATTTTTCTTTTTTCTTGAGGTAGGCTTATATAGCTATAAACTTCCCTCTTAGAACTGCTTTATGCTGCATCCCATAGGTTTTGGATCATCGTGCTTTCATTATCAATTGTCTCTAGGTATTTTTTGGTTTCCTCTTTGATTTCTTCAGTGATCTCTTGGTTATTTAGTAACGTGTTGTTTAGCCTCTGTGTGTTTTTGTTTTTTACTTTTTTTTCCCTGTGGAAAAAAGCATAGTGTTGTGTTCAGAAAAGATGCTTGATATGATTTTAATTTTCTTAAATTTACTGAGGCTTGATTTGTGACCCAAGATGTGATCCATCCTGGAGAATGTTCCGTGCGCACTTGAGAAGAAAGTTTAATCTGCTGTTTTTGGATGAAATGTCCTATAAATATCAATTAAATCTATCTGGTCTATTGGGTCATTTAAAGCTTCTGTTTCATTATTAATTTTCTGTCTGGAAGATCTGTCCATTAGTGTAAGTGAGGTGTTAAAATCCCCCACTATTATTGTGTTACTGTCGATTTCCTCTTTTATAGCTGTTAGCAGTTGCCTTATGTGTTGAGGTGCTCCTATGTTGGGTGCATATATATTTATAATTGTTATATATTCTTCTTGGATTGATACCTTGATCATTATGTAGTGTCTTTCCTTGTCTCTTGTAACATTCTTTATTTTAAAGTCTCTTTTATTTGATATGAGTATTGCTACTCAAGCTTTCTTTTGATTTCCATTTGCATGGACTGTCTTTTTCCATCCCCTCACTTTCAGTCTGTATGTGTCCCTAGGTCTGAAGTGGGTCTCTTGTAGACAGCATATACATGGGTCTTGTTTTTTTTTTTTTGCGGTATGTGGGCCTCTCACTATTGTGCCCTCTCCCGTTATGGAGCACAGGCCCCGGACGCGGAGGCCCAGTGGCCATGGCCCACGGGCCCAGCCGTTCTGTGGCATGTGGCATCCTCCCGGACTGGGGCATGACCCCATGTCCCCTGCATTGGCAGGCAGACTCTCAACCATTGCGCCACCAGGGAAGCCCTGGGTCTTGTTTTTGTATCCATTCAGCAAGCCTGAGTCTTTTGGTTGGAGCATTTAATCCTTTCACGTTTACAGTAATTATCCATATGTATGTTCCTATTACCATTTTCGTATTGTTTTGGATTTGTTTTTGTAGATCCATTTCTTCTCTTGTGTTTCCCACTTAGAGAAGTTCCTTTAGCAGTTGTTGTAGAGCTGGTTCGGTGATGCTGAATTCTCTTAGCTTTTGCTTGTCTGTAAAGCTTTGGATTTCTCCATTGAATTTGAATGAGATCCTTCCGGAGTAGAGTAACCTTGGTTCCCATTCATCACTTTAAGTATATCATGCCACTCCCTTCTGGCTT